CCCAGTAGTTCCGAGGGTCTTCAGCACTCCTGTTTCTCTTCAAGCAGTTCTGAGGAGGGTGCCAGAAGCCAAGAAAATGAGCAGATCGCATGCACCAATCAGGCTGCAGCCCTCCCTGGGAAAGTGCCATGTGATGCTCTGAATGAGAAAGTGGTTTTCTTAGTGAGATTCATGCTGCTCAAGTACCAAATGAAAGAGCCAATAAGGAGAGCAGATATGTTGGAGATCATCATGCCAGAGGATGAGGCATTGTTCCCCACCATCCTACTGCAGGCCTGTGAGTGCATGGAGACAACCTTTGGCTTAGATGTGATGGAAGTGGATCCCATCAACCACTGCTATGGTGTCTTCATCAAGCTGGGCCTCACCTACGATGGGATGCAGCGTGAAGGGAGCGTGCCCAAGACTGGCCTCTTGATACTTCTCCTCAGTGTGATCTTTGTAAAGGGCAACCGTGCCACTGAAGAGGAGGTCTGGGAAGCACTGAATCAGATAGGGCTGTATGCTGGGGAGGTTCACTTCATGTATGGGGAGCCCAGGGAGATCATCACCAGAGAATTTGTGCAGGAAAAGTATGTGGAGTACCGACCAGTGTTCAACAGTGATCCTCCACAGTATGAATTCCTATGGGGCCCACGAGCCCGTGCTGAAACCAGCAAGATGAAAGTCCTGGAGTTTATGGCCAAGGTTCTGGGAACCAACCTGTGGTATTTCCCATTTCAGTTTATAGAGGCCGTGCTGGAGGATATAGAGAGAGCACTAGCCAGGATTTCCCAGAGGGCTGCCTACGGTCCCAGGTTCATTGGACGTTAACATGCTGTGGGCAGTAGTTTCTCCCCTAGCTAGTCAAAGGAGAGGTGGGTTGCTCACTTAATGTTCCAAGAGTAGCTAGTTTATTCCAAGAGAGTGCCAGCATTGAAAGAATGTAGGTACCGGTAGTGGAATGGGTCTGACGGGAAAACAGAATATATCATTTGTCTGTTAGCTTTTCAGCTGGAATCTGACAATGTACTGTTTCATTTTTGAAGGTTGTATTTTTCAACAAATGTTACCTCATGTAAAATAGATTTAGTCTGACTATCTTTAATATTCAAACCATAGTATTCACACATAATGCCATTTATAAGATTAACTAATATGATCACTTCTCTATGATAAAACAATTTTAAAAGGATCAGGTTTATATTGTCATGTGGACTAAAAAATCACTCAATGTACGTACACATTGCTTTGGCAAAATGAGACAACTTGCTCTTAATGCACCTGGCATCAACTGAAAGAAGTAGAAATTATAAAATTAGTCACTTTTCCTATACCTTTAAATCTGTTGTTCTGTACAATTAAGTAACTTGTACATGGCTCTGTTTAGCTATTTTCTAGAGTTTATGAGAAATAAATCTTAATGAATCACATTATGTGTTTACTGGTTCATTACTGTCCAAACCTGAGCTGCGCACCAGCTCTTGGGAAAGCAGTGCACACTATTGTGAATCCTAGGGTCAAGGGATCTGAGGAGCGACTTGTAGAGTTTAGCTTAGGAGCAGTAGCGTTATAGACATGAAGACAGAACTGGTAAGATCAAAAGACAAGTCGAAAGAAGCTATGTGGAGGAGGAGGAGGAGAAGCCAACATCAGTTTCTTCGTAAGTGTTTTCCTACAAGCATTCATTTGGAACACTTCAAATTCTGTAAGAGAACTCATTGTAGGTTAAGCTGGACTGTGGTCTGATGAGGCTGTAGACATGTGGAGCAGGGACTGCCCTTCACAATGTGTTTCTCAGATTTTTATTCCAAAACCTGCAGTGAGAATTGCTTCTCAGTGTTTCCTGTCCATCATGGGTAATTCTGCAAGGATTCCCATGTATGCCAGAAATGGTAGAATTCTCCAATCTTCTTCAAAACAGTGAATCACTACACAAATGGCACATTTTATTTACATCATCTCCACAGATACTTTGAGGAACAAGGATGATGCTCCTTGAGATTGCTTCCTAAAAATCAAGTGTGTTTGGGGATGCATTTCCATAACCTGGAAGAGGCGATGCTCACTCCATTCACAGCAGCTTTTGTGGGGGGCGGTACTGGGTATTGAAGACAAGGACTTCACACTGCACTATATCCTCCCCCCTTTGAAATTGTTATTTTTGAGACAGGATCCTGTCAAAGTGTTACACTGTCCGGGGTGTGCTAGAACGTATCCTTCCAACTCAGCCTCCCAGAGTGCTGAGATTGCAAGTGTGCAACTCTACGTCCCACTTAAAAGGGAATTTTAAGTAGGTTGCCTTGAGTGTCATTTGGCAAGCAAGAAATAGGGGCAAAAATCGGGTGGATGGGGGTGGAATGAATAAAAGCAGGATTTAGATCAAAAGGCAACTTTGAGCAAGGAAAGAAGTTTGAATTTCTGCATGATTTCAATCATACTCCTGAAGAAGGCAGCTTTAAACCTACGTTAAATAATGAAACTTGAGGGCAAAACACTGTAGTTTTATTTGTTGAGGATAATTTTTGTCTGATTTGATGGCCCAGGTCCCATAGCATTTTGTTTTTTAGGTAGACTGTATTTAGATCATACACAGATAAAAGTAGAAGATTTGAAATCAACATAATCAAAGCAATAACTGCTCTTCAGCAAAACCCTGAAACATGAGAGGCAGTTTGCCATCTTCTTCCTATAATTTACATGGTCCTAGAAGATAGGAATTACCAAAGCGGACTGACACCCTGGGCAGAGTGCTTGTGACTGTGTCTTCTTTCACATATCTAGTTCATGAATACTGGGACTAGATCTCTTTATTGACTTCATCTAGCATTGACCCAGGCACCTGGAATTGTACCTGTGTCTCTGCACTGCTTGCTATTGTCACAATCCCTTAATGACTCTCAGGATAAGAATGGAAACATGCTGTGACCAAAGAATTTAAAGCAAAGTTAAAGACAGAAAGTGAAAATAACATTAAAACACAATTTCAGTTTTACCTGTGGGATTCACTTGACGAGAGTATTGCTTCCCCATCTCCCAAGAGTTCTTGAGAACTGCCCCAGTCTCCGTGCTGATATTGTGCCTACTCCTTGCATTACAGTACTATACTCTTGGTCATCTGCAGTGTGCCCTCCTGTTCATACTGGGGTCTGACTTCCTGGCATTCCACATATCCTCCTGTGAAGGTGGGATCCTGTTTCCATGGCAGAAACAGTGCACAGTCTCCTGTCCTCCCCCTCCCATGGAGCACTGCCATTCCTGTTGGTCTCATTCTTCATCCCGGTCATCCTCTGATGCCAAATCACGTTCTAGTTAGAAGATAAATTTAACAGTGAAATTGTGGCATGACTACACTCTTGGGAGTCTCAGCCACATTTGAAAAAATGTTTTCCACAAAGCTGGTGAGTATAATCTCCTATGCTATATCATGCATTGGGAGGTCTAATACTGAATTTGGAGAAAGTGTATGGAAGTTACTCTGACTTTTGCAGTGGAATTTTCATAAGGTGGTATACTAGGATCTGGTTACGATCATATAGATCTATGATTGAGCTTAGCTGTGAATTCGAACACAGTAAATAAACTGAGTGTGGTATCCATGCCACCTGCAAAGAGATTCCACAAAAAAGGATTTCTCCTGAGATTGCTCACCTAAAATCTGCTGTAGCAGGTGTAATATCCCAAGGCCATGGAGAGGCAGCACTCATTTCATTAAAAGAAGAATGAAATAGGTTCTCCTCACTCAATTTGGCAATCAATAAGCAAGGGCAATGTTTTGGCAGGGTTTGCAGAATGACAAAAGATGACTTGGAAGAATTTCTCCTAATTTCTTAAGCCCTAACTAATGCAAAGAACATGGAGCTCACTGGGTAACAAATCTCATGTGGATGTTTTTGTAAACTTCCTAGAGTTCTTCAGGTGGTGAATCCTGTTTCATTGGCAGACATGGTTATCTTTGTTTAGCAAAG